CCGTCCCAGGACACGCCTGTGGGAAATACGCCTGTCTAAGCAGGCCACACTGATGTTCTGAGGCGTACCAGCGAAGTGGGCCAGCGAGACACAGCCAGGGCCTGTTGGGGGGGAAGGAGATACCAGGTGCCCAATGTCAGACCACTCTCATTTTCTGTCTGGTGGGGGGAGGTGGGCTACCAGGGTGTATCAGGTCTCCCCCAGTTTCTCTCATAGGCCCTGGACACATCGTCACCACGACTGGGTCTGGTACCCAGCTCTGCCACAGGGTTCCTGGCAGACCCTGGGCAAGTCCCTTCGCTGCTCTGTGCCTCGTTTCACCATCTGAGAACAACTTGGTTATCCCAGCTGGGAGCTTCAGGGCAGGACCTGTTCCTCTCCATGTGCCTGTGCAGCACCCAGCACCATGAGGCCCCAGCCTTGTTTGCTGCCTCGAGGAGGCTATTGTAAGAGAAATAATAATAAAGATAAGGAGATAGCTTTATCCTTTAATTCTGGATTAGCTGGTACTACAGTTCCAGCTTATGCGTGGAGATATTTATCCTCTCAGACACTCAGGGAGACCTTGGAGGGTGAAGCCGAGTGATTTCTGTGCATTTATGGGTTACACTCTTCTGCACTGGGCTAAGTGTTTGGAAAAGAAAAGGTTTCCTGTACGACCGCACCCGTGTCCCAGCACAGTAGACGCGAGCACAGCAAGCTCTGGCCAAAAAGCATTCAATGGCACTGTAGGGCATGGACCACGACGGGGAGGGGACTCCCGGGTTCTGCTACTAGCTCCGGCCCAGCCTTTCTGCATGACCTTTGTCAAGTCACTTAACCTCTGGCTGCTGAGTGTCCCCCTGTGCCTAATGGAGATAATCATAAATAATGAGGTTAATTCTTACCTTCCTGAGGTTATGGAAGGCTTAATGAAGGGCCTAAGCTGTGCTTTGAGATCCTGAGATGAAAGGCGCTGTTGAAGCACAAGGTGTTATTAGGAAAACATCAGCGGTGACGCAGGGCCCTGGAATGACACCACCTGTTCAGGAATAGGCAGCCTACAAGCAATGGCGGGTTCGAGGTCCCTCAGCACCTGCTGGCACTTGGGTTGTGGGCAGCTAGGACTGGGATGGGGCCCTGCAGCCGGTCTCCGCTTCCAGGAGCCCGTGATGTCTCTAGAGCGATGCAGAAAGAAGAGTATCAGGCCATCCCGCCAGCAGGGTTTGTGCTAGCAGAGAGCACGGGGGCTGTCTCCCGGCTAGGGAAGCACACGGACTCGCCCCTCCAGGCCTTCACCCACTCACCACAGGGCTGATTGTAGCTGGAGGTTTCTCCCCAGCCCCGTGCACTGCAGCAGACCCCGGGTGCTCGGGGCTGCCCAATCCCCACTCGCACCCTGTGCCAGGGAGGCTGGCAGCAGCAGATACAGCTGCTCCCCGGCATGTTGAAGCAACTTCCCTTGCTGCTCGCACTCCAGGCCAAGGCTCTGATCCTTCCCTCCCTCCCTCCCTCCCCCTGAGTGGAGCAGATAGCGAGCACTGCTTGTTCCAGTGCAGGGACCCACCCGCACTGCAGGCCAGGCTGCCTGCACCCGGCTTGTATGGACAGGAAGGGACAGAGCAGGGAACTGGAGGGTGCTCAATTCTCCTGGCTGGAGTTGGGCGGGGAGTGCCGAGCTGGCAGGCCAGGAGGCATGGGCGCGCCCTGCGCCCGCTCCGGATTGCTACGCAGGCTCCAGGCTCCTTCCACCCTTCTTCCACGTGCACGGCCCACCCTGACCCCTTCTTTCCTCTGTCAGGACCGGGGACGAGGGGGCAGCCGGGAAGTCTCACGGGGCCGAGGAATCATTTGAAGACCAGGTGTCTGGCGCTGGCCCAGTTCGTTCAGACTTCAAGAGGCGCATCTTCCTTTCCCAGGCAGCCTGCGCCGTCGCGAACGCGCAGTCTTCATGTAACGCTCAACCCCAAAAGCTTATATTTTCCCGGTTAGCCTCCTTGTTTGGGTGATCAGACTCCCCTTCACCTGTCGGCTACTGTGGTTTCGAGGTAGCAGGTCTAGAGATCTGACGGCGTCATGTCCTGGATCTCGTCCGTCTTCACTCTCTGCGGTTGTTGGGCTGTCTTACCCAACAGCAGCCCCACCGCCCTTGATCTCCTTGCTGTCTGGAGGCTGGAGAAGGTGCCGGTGTATCAGTATGCGTTCATCTTAGGCAATAACCTCCCAAGATCAAAAAGCAACCTCTTGGTATCCTGCTGCAGTCTGTAACCATTGAATCCCATCAGGAGAATGATGCAGGCAGCATCTATGGAGCGGGGCAGCTCCCACATCCAAATCCTCTGGATATACATTTTGTCTGGCTTTCTACACGTGCAAATGCCCGATTCCTCTGGCAGGGGTTTCTAACAGTTCATAAATTCCCACTCTTGGTTTTGGTTAAGTGAAAGGCAGGCAAGAGCCCATGCTTCATTAGAGCAACCCTGTGATTGAACAGTGCTAAATACAGACCACTCTTTTTCTGTAGGTGCTTTATTATTCTGACACCATTGGCACCTACCAGTTAATAATCGAGGATAAAAAGGACTAGAAAGTTCACATCTAAACCCAAGTAGTTTGACCTCGTGCCCATAAACCATAGCCGGCTGTCAGGTATTGCTTTGCCAGGTACCCAGTGCCTAGCAAAACAGATCTGATATGCAAAATCACAGTTTACCTGTCGCATCTTCTAGCAGAGCGTTCTCGAGGAAGTTAGAAAAGCTTGGAACAAATACAGACTTTTTTCCAGTCTAGATCAACAACTCATGTCTAATCGGATCCATTTTTTTTCTCCAGCACCAACGTGGACAATTTTGCTTGATTTGGCTTGGCGCGTGCAGCACGTCCGGACAGCTACTGCCAAGTCGCCGTTCATGTGAAAACATCAAACACATCCGGCCCGTCTCTTCCATATTTTCACTCTCCCAATGCATCCTTTCTAATACTGTCCAGGCCATCCTATGGTGATACCCTTCATCGCTTTCTGCAACGTTTCCTGCCGATCTGTAGCTCTAGCAATCACTGCCCAGCTAGGTTTGTTTTACTCAGATTGGTCTGAGCAACGCCCAGCTTTAGATCCTGCACTTCTCTCAAAGTCTTTAGAGCACACATTTCCAG